AGGAAAAGAGAAATCACACGTTATTCATCAGTTCATCTCACGCAGCAGCAGCCAGAAAAATAGCAGCTCCTCACCTCCATCCCTTTCTTATTTGATCTAAGCAACAACAACAGAAGTTCTGGTGACTGCAGTATTAATAGCACAGTGATTGCAAAAAAAGGAAACATGCATTAAAATAGCAGGATTATTCCCGTACGTCCCTTGGTTGAAACTCGGGTGGGTTATGATTTGCATCTGTGCCATGTACACCTGCCGTTTGGCCTCTCTAAATAAGCAAACTAAAAAGGCCTGGACTTCAACTTTTCAAGTGATCTGGGCAAACATCAAAGGGAGAGCTAAAGCCCAGCCATCTCCGGGGACTGTGTCATGCTCAGGATTGCCAAATTATTCTCGCTAACAGATAAACTGCAGGTACAGAAGGCATAAGAGTAATGTGGCCAGGGATTCCACCTGTGTGGCATATACTGGCAACCTGGCAGCAGCAGGGGACTAGCCCTTGCTCTGAGGCTACAGATGCATGCCCTAAGTGTAGAGATTGTCTGTGTAGCAGGGATAAGATAGCTGGCATTAGTTCATCTTGCCCTATTTTCCCCTCTCTCTTTCCCCCATCAAGTCTTCAACAAGTATGAGAGTGGGAAGCAATGGCAGAGACTGACATCAGTTATCTTCCTCTGAGAGGTTCAGTTAATCAGGGAAGGACCCATAATTTTAGGGCCTGCAAGTTATTACCACTTATTGCCTGGTCTAGCAGCCTCTTTCTTAAGCTGTTTGTCAACCTTCTGAAATTTGCCATGCCTGAGCTCTGACCTAAAGTATGTTCAGTTATTTTCGAGCATCAGGAGGGCAGAAAAATTACCCTCACCTCTTGAAAAATATAGAAAACTTGTAATCTTTCATGAATCCATTTTAGTCAACACGGAAGAGGCAAGAAATCTGAAAGATGGCAGGGGAACAGCCCTAACAGGCTGGAGTTGCAGTGTTTTTCTAAAGTAAAATATTGAGTTTGCTAATGGTGGGAGCATTAGCAAAGTGCACACTGATTTTTTTTGCATATTTTCCTTGCAAAATGTACAGGCCTCACCCACCACCATCACCATTTAACTCCTTCTGTGTCACCGCAGTTGTGTAGAGTATCAGGACCTTCTGTAAGGATGCTGCTGAGGCCAAGACCGTGTTACCCACCACCACAAGCCCAAGAAGACTTTCCCTGTGGCTGTGATGTCCTTCATGGTGGGTAGCCACAAAAGCTCAGAAGGGGCTCCCACTGCTCATTTCCAGGTGGCACAGGACGTACTTGGCATCCCAAATGTCGGGGACCCGTGCATTCTGCTGGATATGTTCTTTGTGCATGGCTCAGTGAGATGTGTGATTCTCTTGAGGTGTGAGCAGGGACAATGCAGAGGGATGTTCACCCCTTGTGCTATCTGTTCCAAATGACCCTGTGGACATGGCAGTCCGTACAGCTCAGTTGCTCGGGTGGCCATGTCTGCTGCTGTGACCACAGAACTGCTCTTAGAAACTGCATGGATTTATCCTTCGGACCCTTTTACAGCAAGGGAAATGATAGAAGGAGCGTTGCAAAGGTGTGGTGACAAAAGTACGGCTGATAAAAGAGAAACCCTCCATTACCTGCAAACCGGAGAGACCACAGCTCTTCCACGGAGCTCAAGAGACAAATTAAGAACTACTCTAATTTCTTTTCCTTGAAGGGGATATAGTTATTTATGTCTTCAGATTTTGAGGAAGACACAGAGAACTTGCTATGGGGATGTGATTTTTTTTTTCTAATTGCACGTTCTGTTTTCTGCTGTAATCCAAAGAGGGCAGAGAGGCTCTTATGCCCAGTAAAGAGGCTGGGGTCAGGTGGTATTTAATGGAACCAGCTCCCTTCTGAAGACAAACAGTCGTAAAAAAATAGAACACAGGGAGAGCTTATATACTCATCTGGCGGCAATGGACAAAATCATGCATCTGATAAAATTAAATAGTCATAGTGACTTCGTGTGGCATTTCTGACCTTTCGTAGAAAAAACCCCAACATTAATACGATACCATGAATCTGATTATTTCGTGATGACATTGCATAATCTGTGATGGGTATAAATTTAGCTATGTTGCCTCAGTTCCTCAGGATGGTAAGAGCAAAGACTACAGAATTCCTATATTCTCAACTTGTTTCTCTAGCAGCTTGGGGGTGTATTTTTCCCCATCTGAGTAGTTTTTATTTTTTATAGAACAACTGTTCAATATTGACATTAGAAAGATAGGTTTGAGAAATTAACTGAACTAAACAACCTTTTCACAGTACTGTGAGAACACAGTACCTTGCCATGGTGAGAGGCAAAATTCCCTATTGTGGTAGGAGAAGAAGTAACTGTACGTGCAACAGATTAGGGGCTTTTGTTTCATTTTGGAAGCTGTGCAAACTAAAAGGTTTTCAGGAACATGCTGAAGAAGTGAACCTGTACGGGGAACTCCTCCTGTCTTTCAAGCTTGTGACTGCAAAAGCTCTGCTTTGCAAGTGCTGTTTTGGTGCACAAATTCAAATGTATGTTATTACAGTTTGGGGAAAATGCCCTTATTTACTGAATCAAATGCAGATATCTGATTTTAATTCTTTTACAATGGCAGCTACTGTATGGTTTTCATTGACAATGGTTGTAAAATGAGATGTCACATGAAGAAGCACAGCTGAGGGCAACTAGGAGGAACAGAAGAAATTTCCTGCTTTTATTAGATTCACAATACAACTTCTTCAGAGTGGATCCGTTGAATGACACAATGCAGAAGAACTAAACTGTTATGCAACTTCTATCGAACAACGTGTGTTGCTATTTACCTACCCTGCCTCACTGCTGCATTTGCTTCCTTCTACACCTGAAGCACCTTCTTTTAATATTTAGGTTATTAAATAGCCTCATGTGTCACAGCTGTTATTTCATCTTTAGCAAAAGGCTAGAAGCTAAATGTCATACCTAAAATACTCATTTCTTCTTGGAAATGATCATTTCAGATGCAGGAGCCTGTTCTGTGGCAGTGGCCCCGTGCTTCCTGCAAAGCCACGCTGGGCTGGACCTGTGGGGGTGACCTGCCCATCGCACCTCCTGGCGAAGGGGCTTTGGGAAGGAGAGGGGAGCAGGCAGCCAGCTCTGTGTCCTGGCACATCCCAGCAGCCAAGTAGACCCCAGAGCCAGCTGCAAGCTTGTACAGTTTAGAGCAGCTATGAGATGTACTCCGAGCTTTGCCAGTGGCCACGTTTGGTCATCTCGTGTTGGAGCCAAACAGCCAAAGAGGAGGAAAACCTGCCATTCCCTCCATCCCAGCAAAGCATGCTGAGCACTGCCCCGGCATGCCCAAGAATTCAGCTCTGGGAAGCCTGACTCAGACTTTTATCCTCAAGACAAACACATCACTTCACCTGCACTTTGTTTTTACAGACCAGATCCTTGGAAAAACCCCTCTGTCACCTCAGTGCAGGGCAGGGGCACACTGCAGCGTGGCTGCAGGCTCTCTCTCTCCCTTCGCTTGCCTGTGGCAGCCCATGTACTGCAGGGCTGATGCCTCTTCCCCGCTGAAAGCTGCAGTCCCACGGCACTCTCCTCTCTGCTTCCATGCTGGGGATTCAGCTGCAGCCACTTGCATCCAGGCAGTCACACCAGGCATAGCCGTGGGTGACTGCCTTCCACAGGAAACAGAGGGTCTGAGAGATTACAAGGGCACGTCCCACCAGTTCAAGGGATTACATGGTCTGCAATTTGTTTTGCCTATGGTACACGAGGAGGTCCACCAGGAAACTTCAGTTTATTAACAGGAAATGGTAAAGGCTGTTGCGTGATGAGGACAGCATTAGCAAATGCTAATACACAATGCATATTACACTCCTTGGTGCAGCAGGTTTTAATAGCAGGTACCCATATTCCGAATAAACCTGGCACCTAGTACTGGGACAAATGACTGACCACCAGATTCTCATTTATCCACCTGTTTTCTTGTCCTTACTGATCCTATTAGGAGAAAGGGAGATTGAAAGGAATAATAAAAGCTGAATGAACATTTTTTCTTGGAGACATGCACTGCTTGCTCATTGCTCACAGCTTTTTCAGCTAGCTAACAGTGCAAGGAACCAAAAAGCAGTTTACTGCTGAGATGACAGAGCACTGCAGTATGAGAGCGGCACAGCAGTGCCTAAGCTCCCTTGCCACGGTGGCACACTGTCCCTGAAAGCGCTCAGTCATGAAATACTAACTTTCACTTCTCCCTTTCATCATTGTTTAAACAATGACCATAACTTGAAATTCCCCCCTCCCTTCTGAAAATGCTGGGTATGCATGTCCCATATGACACCACAGATTTCCAGAAGAGTGTTTTCTACTCCTTCAGCCTTTAGCCATTTGCATTTAATAATGTCTTGGCCTTGGTCTTTGTTTACTTTAAGTCCTGTCCTCACTCAGTTACTTATTTGAGACAGGCAGGCAAGGCGGCTTCAACCAGGAGGCAAATCCCTTTCGGCAAATAGCTCCAGGTGAGGGCTCTGCTGGTTTCATGCCTCTACACCAAACCAGCTTTCAGCCTGTGGCATAGCTGACAGTTGAGAGGTGATGAAATTGCGCTGCCCCGTTGGCTGTCTTTTTCCCTGCCGGCCCAGAGGGGATGCCAGAAAGCAAAAGCTGAAATCCTTTCGCTTATCCTGGGCTAAGCCACTTGCTCCAGGGCCTCAGAGACGCGGCTGCGAAGATTTCTTCAAGCTGTTTTTGGCTGCCAGTCCTCCTACCTCTGCCATCAGCACAGGAAGGCAAGTGCCAGGAACCAGAGCCCCATGAGAGGCTCAGTTTGGCTGCCCTGGGATGGCCAAGCCATGCACTGGGCTCTGGGAGACAGCTCTTCCCTGCACAGAGCTTGGCACAGCTTTCAGCTGTGGCAGCAAAGTTGAAGTTGAAGGAAAAGGTGTTGTACCTAGAGATGTATATTC